CCTTACTGCTGGAGCTCTGCTCCTGTGCACTCTCGAAGGGAATGACCCCTGGTCTTACCCTTATCAGATAACCTCTGGCTTTAAGGAATCAGGAGTCCAGAGGGCCTGCTGCAGTGATGAGAGAAAATCTAGCAATATGCAAAAACCTCTTGTCGGGTGCTGCAGCAGTGCAGAGCTCCTGGAAGGTGTGGATTCAAACCCGTGAGCTGGTATAAGACCCTGGCTGGTTTCTCATGCACTCACTTTTCGTGGCATGTTAGGAACAGAGACGGTTGCAGAGCATGCCCTGAGAGTAGTGCTAGGCAGTGTTCCCTCTAAGCTGAGTTAGCGTGAGCCGGCTCACAGTTTTTTAGCCTCTGGCTCACACATTTTTTGTCTCAGCTCAGGAAGGAGGGCTCCAGAGCAAACTAATTGAGGCATCTGCCAAATCGCTCGCTCACAACTTTAATGCCAGTAGCTCACAAAGTAGGATTTTTGCCCACGTGACTCCACAGCTTCGAGGGAGCGTTGGTGCTAGGATCGATCATTGCCCGCAGTCAGGCACACGAATGGAATCCCTAACACGTTCTTTTAAAAATTGCCTTTGGTAGGAAAAGCGTTTGAAGAGGAGTATCAGAAGCTCCGGATTGATAAAGAGCCTCTGCAGGAGCTGAAGAAAGAAGGCACTGCTAAGAGGTGAGGGGAGGGGTTCCCCCCCACCTTTTTGTCTTCCAGCTGTAGTGAAGATGGCTAAGAGTGGTCCTGTTTCAGGGGACACATACAAGTAAAAGAAGGGTGCTGGTTTGGTACTGGTATGGGCAATCCACGTCCGCGTCTAGTCCAGAGGTGTCAAACTCATTTGTTACGAGGGCCGGATCTGACATAGAAGTCGCCTTGTTGGGCTGTTGGCCACATGTGCCATAAAATGTAATGCCAGGTACCAGAGATGGGCTAGGAGGGGAAAGGAAAACCTGTACGGGCAGACTGTGGAGAGCTAGCGGTGCAGCACTGGGCAGACACTCCCACGCCGCTTGACTGCTGCAGATGAGATTTTTCCGCCGGGCTGAAGCCACATTTCGGAGTGGCTCCTGTTACTGATGCTGTTAAAAAGAATTTGCATTGCTCCTTTCATGTAGGGGAGATTTCTGGGAACAACAGGGATCTTAACCGTCATTTCAGGCAATTGTAGGTGGGTAACTTTTTCTTTTTTCTTTCTCTCCCTACCAAGAGAGCAGTTCTTGAAGACCAATGCACAGCTGACCATCAGGTGCAGACAGTTACTCTCAGAGCTTTCCTATATTTACCCAATTGATTTGGTAAGTTTATGACTCTCTTTACTGTACCTGCTTTATCCCTTATATATAAAAGCCGAATGGTGGTGGCACTTCTCTAGAACATTCCACACGCTCCCGAATTGGTTGGCGCCCTGGTGTGTCACTCAGAATCTGTCCCTATCCACTGGCTGCATTGCTGGAGTCTTGCCTCCAACATTCTAAACAGTTTGCTGTTCCTCTCCCCCTCCATAGGCAGTCAGAACACAGAGGTTATTTGCATATGCAGCCTCATTGGCCTCTGCCTCAGAACACAGAGGTCGTTTGCATATGCGACTTGATTGGCTTTTGCCTCTAACATTCTAAACAGTTTGCTGTTCTGAGGTAAAATGTGTCCCATCTCCAGGTGAGGGCTGGAGATCACTCAGAATTACAACTGCTTTCCAGATGGCAGAGATCAGTTCCCCTGGAAAAAATGGTGGGCTCTGTGTCCTTATATGCTGCTGAGGTGGCCCCCGTATGACAGCCAATGTGACGTAGCAGTTAGGGCTTCAGAGCACGGGAGAGGCTGCAGGTGTGTGGAAAGCTGAAGAGTGAGGGGGAAATAAAGGTAGGTTGATGATTGGCTGGGAAGGAGATAGGGTTGCCAACTCCAGGTGGGAAATTCCTGGAGATGTGAGGGATGGAGCCTGGAGAGGGTGAGGTTTCAGGAGGCGTGGGACTTCAGACAGGTACAAGGCCATAGACTCCACCCTCCAAACCAACCATTCCCTTCTGGGGAACCATTGTTGCCAATCTCCAGGTGAGGGCTGGTGATCCCTCAAAATTACAACTGTTCTTTAGGTAGCAGTGTGTGTATGTATGTGTGTGTGTGTGTGTGTGTGTGTGTGTGTGTGTATATATATATGGTGTTCAACACAGTCAGAGCTGTGGGTCGTGAAATTGAGAGACTTTAACCATGAACGAACAAGACATATCTTTCTACAAAGCCTATTTGCAGGATGGGCGGGGTATAAATATAATAAATAAATAAGATTGCCCCATGTCTGCAGAAAAATCTGAAATCTTAAAAACAAAATACATAGGGGCTAGAACGCCCAAAGCAATAGAAGCAGTTGTTGCTAGGCAACCGCATAGTAGTGCCAGCCTTCAAGCCTTGGTTTCTGTCAGTAAAGGCAGGGGAGGAAGCAGGGCCCTTTCTAGGAGGGGAGAAGAATGATGTGAGCAGCTTTGGGTCACCATTGCGGAGAAAGACAGGGTATAAATGAAGTGAGGAAATAATAAATATAGCTGAAGAGTGGGGTGGGCACATAAAAGGTAGGGCGGTTTGGAAGGAGAGAAGGAAGCCGGAAAAGGAGAGAGACGGTGGGAGCTGTCAGGGAAGTGAAAGAGGAAACCATGAGGGAGGGAGGAATGAGATGTCCCCTGCAAGCTTCCACAGGTCCCATCCCTCTGTGCGTGTATAATATTACCCAGTAGCAGAGCAGGTAGTTTGTATGCAGAAAAAGCATTCACACTAAATCCCTGGTATTTCTATCGTCAGTAGCAGGCCAAAGAAGAAAACGACTTGGAACAGGACACTGAAGAGGCAGCATAGATATATTCTAAAGAGATGCAGTTTTAAAAAGGTGGCCGCCTTTCCCCAAATGTACCCCTGAGAGCAACTTTGGTCAGGGTCACAAAATCATCTGGCCCTTCCTGGTCCCAAAGATGCCAGGCTGGTGGTGACCAGGATAAGGGCTTTTTCGGTGGCGGCTCCACACTGGTGGGATAAGCTCCTGGACGAGACCAGAGCCCTGCGGGACCTCTTACAGTTCCGCAGGGCCTGCAAGACGGAGCTCTTCCACCAGGCCTTCGATTAGGCGCCACCGCCACCATTGCGACCGCCATTATGACCATCATCACCATCAACGTGTAGAGCCTGGTACCCAGCTCACTGCTGACAGCCTGAGCCCCCGCCGCTCAGATACGAGACGGCCAACGAGCGGAACACACAGACTATCTATGCAATGTATAGCGCCATCTATATGCCAGGAAAACACCACGGCTAGCACTTGGTGCTGGAGAAGACTCTGGAGAGTCCCTTGGACTGCAAGAAGATCCAATCAGTCAATCCTAAAAGAAATCAACCCTGACTGTTCCCTGGAAGGCCAGATAATGAGACTGAAGCTCAAATACTTTGGCCACCCAATGAGAAGGGAGCCCTCACTGGAGAAGACCCTGATGCTGGGAAAGACTGAAGGTCAAAGAAGACGGGGACGGCAAAGGATGAGATGGTTAGACAGTGTCATCGATGCAACGAACATGAAATTGAGCCAACTTCAGAGGACGGCGGAAGACAGGGAGGCCTGGCGTGATCTGGTCCATGGGGTCGCGAAGAGTCGGACTCGACTGTGCGACTGAACAACAACAACAAAAGCACCTTATATCGATATAATATGATTTTAACGAATTGTTTTAGAAGTTTTGTGATATTTGAATCTTGTGATGTTTTATTGCTGTAAGCCGCCCTGGGGTCTGTTTAGGCGGGGGAGGACGGGATACACATTTGAAGAAATAAATAATAAAACGAAACTTCGAGCCGAACCCTTGGGGAGCCTATTGAAAGCCAATAACAGACCCTTGTCCTCCAAACAGACCAGTGTTCTGACTTGGTATAAAGCAATTTGATAGAACGGCTAGATTCCAGTCCAATAGCACCTTAGGGACAAACAAGATTTTCCATGGTATAAGCTTTCCAGAGTAAAAGGCCGCCTTTGTCAGATACAAGTCAGAATGGAAGTCCCTATCTGACAAGGGAGCCTTGGCTCACGAAAGCCGATACCCTGGAAATCTGGACTGGAATCGAGCTGTGTTCAGACACCCCTCTGCTTTTCCATTACCCATCGCGGTTCTGATCCCATCGTTCACAGCTTCAATTTTCTTTCTTCCAGAGCGGCTCCCTCTGCTCCAATCTCACTTTCTGTTATTAAATCCACAGAACGACCAAAACGATCATTTTATCTGTGGGGTCAAGTTGCCCAATTCCGAAGACTTTCAAGGTAACTGGGCGTTTACCTTCTCTCTTTTTTTTTTTAATGGATTGTGTTGATTTTTTTCCCCTACAATAGAAAGAATGAAAACAGGAGGAAAGACTAAATAAAAAGAAGAAAACGCACGAAAGTAAAAGGGAAAAAACCCAGTAAAATTCATTGGGTGACGACAAAAACAACAAAAAGAAAAGGAACAGTATCAGATTTTCCCTGTTACAAAATGCCATACATATACATATCACAACTCTAGTCTGAGTTCAGACCATGGACCTTGCTCATTGGTATCCCACTGCCCTGTGTAATGCACGCTACAAGCATGGACGGCTTCAAGAGGGAAGTGGATATACATATGGAGCAGAGGTCTATCCATGGCTATTAGCCACAAGGTATAGATAGGAACTCTCGGTCGGGGGCAAGTGATGCTCTGTATTCTTGGTGCTTGGGGGGGGGCAACAGTGGGAGGGCTTCTAGTGTCCTGGCCCCTCTGCTGGACCTCCTAATGGCACCTGGTATTTTTGGCCACTGTGTGACACAGAGTGTTGGACTGGATGGGCCATTGGCCTGGTCCAACATTGGCTTCTCTTGTGTTCTTATATGGAGCAGAGGTCCATCCGTGTCTGTTAGCCACAAGGTATAGATAGGAACTCTCGGTCTGGGGCAAGGGATGCTCTGTCTTCTTGGTGCTTGGGGGAGGGGCAACAGTGGGAGGGCTTCTAGTGTCCTGGCCCCACTGCTGGACCTCCTGATGGCACCTGGTATTTTTGGCCACTGTGTGACGCAGAGTGTTGGACTGGATGGGTCATTGGCCTGGTCCAACATTGGCTTCTCTTATGTTCTTAACCTGGATGCTGGAATCAGCTGGAATCTGTGCCGATGTCTTCTGATGAAGCAGATTTTGAATAAAAGCTCCCCGACGATTTCAGGATGTATTTTCAGTTTTTATAAGAAACAGTTTAGGTAGTACATCCTTTTATGCTTCAGTGCATTCTGATCCAGGGGTCCCCAACGTGCGGCCCACGGGTACTATGACGCCCTCCAACACACCATTCTTCGTACCCCCCCCAGGTGTTTTTAGGAAGTGGGCAGGGCTGTGCAGAACTTTTAAAAACGTTGCTTTGGCAGCAGCTGCTCCCACAGCACAAGGATCTCCACCGAGGCCATTGTATCTAAGTTTCAGTAGCCATAAGAACATAAGGAACCATCTTGCTGGTGGATCAGAGCAGTGAGGGTCCATCTAGTCCAGCATCCCGTCTCATGCAGCGGCCAAGCAGTTCCTCTGGAGGGCCAACAACAGGGCAGAGAGGCCGGGGCCTTCCCCTGATAGGAACCTCAGAAGAGCCCTGCTGGGTCAGACCAGTGAGGGTCCATCCAGTCCAGCCTCCTGTCTTACACAGTGGCCACCCAGTTCCTCTGAAGGGCCAACATCAGGGCATAGAGGCCGAGGCCACACCCTGATGTTGCCTCCTGACTCTGGGACTCAGAAGATTAGTGCCTTTGAATGTGGAGGTTCCCCTCAGTCCCCATGGCTAGTAGTCATTGATAGACTTATCCTCCGTGAATCTGTCTAATCCCCCTTTAAAGTTGCCTATGCCTGTGGCCATCGCAACATCCTCTGGCAGCGAATTCCACATTTTAATCACTCTCTGTGTAAAGGAGCCAGTTTGGTGTAGTGGTTAAGTGTGCGGACTCTAACCTGGGAGAACCAGGTTTGATTCCTGACTCCTCCACTTGCAGTTGCTGGAGGACCTTGGACAAGCCACAGTTCTGACAAGAGCTGTCCTTGAAAAGTCAGTTCTGGAAAGAGCTCTCTCAGCCATGCCTACCTCACAGGATGTCCATTGTGGGGAGGGGAAGGGGAAGTAGTTTGTAAGCCGCTCTGAGACTGCGAGTGAAGGGTGGGGGAGTGTTGGACTAGATGGGCCTTTGGCCTGATCCAACATTGGTGTCTCTTATGTTCTTAAATCCAATCTCTCCTATTCTTCTTTTTGACCTTCCCCTCCCCATTGGTAGATCTCCGCTCAGGCATTAAGAGAGCCAGCATGACATAGTACTCACAGCATTGGATTAGGATCTGGGTTTGAATCCCCACTCCACCGAAGGAAGCTTTCTGGGTGACCCTGAGCTAGAGATGTGAAGGCCCGGAAAAAAACCCAGAAACATTTGGGGGAAAACCATTTTTCCCATTTTTTTCCTTCTGTGCACTGAGGACAAGCAGGTCCTAGGTTACAAACTGAACTCTCCAATGTAAGAACAAGATGCATTTCTTCCTTTAGGAGGTGCTATTGTCAGAAGAAAATAAAAAGGTTTCAGTTTTGTTTTTGCATGTGGGTGGGTATTCTGTTTGTAATAATTGTTTGGATACACTCTATTTTTAATATGCTAGTTGTGATCATTTCATGCCAAGTAAAAATGTCCATAGTCATATTTTATGTTCCTAAAGTAACAGAATGACTTTCAATCTAGAAAAGACAAAAGAAATGCTAATGTAGCCTTTTTTTCAATTTTTCCGAAAATTTCTGTTTCCCGCCGAAAAGAACTGGGAAAAAACCGGGGTTTTTTTCCGTGCTTCAAAATTTCCAGAAATTTGACATCTGTACCCTGAGCCAGTCACACACGCTGAGCCTAACCTACCTCAAAGGGTTGCTGTGAGGATAAAAGAGAGGAGAGGAGAATGATGTAAGCCACCTTGGGTCCCCACTGTGGAGAAAGGTGGGGTATCAATGAGATTAATACTAATAGTTAGAATTTACCAAACTGTTGTGCAGTGTTAACTGTTTTCATAGGGTCCGCTTGTTTGTACAAACTGGCCCTGAACAAAGGAACGCGTTCAGATTTCTGCGGTGCCATTATGCAAACTGTTGTGCAGTGTTAACTGTTTTCACAGGGTCCGCTTGTTTGTACAAACTGACCCTGAACAAAAAATTGCGTTCAGATTTCTGCGTGACATTATTGTAGGCACAGGGCTATTTTTAGGCAGGAACGGCGTTCCGGCTGGCTCCCTAGTTGGCCACGCCCAGCAGGAACTCGTTAGCATAATAGGCCACACCCAACAGCAGAAACTTATTAGGATTGGCTACATTAGGGGTGTGTGGCCTAACATGCAAAGGAGTTCCTGCTACAAAAAAAGCCCTGGGTTTTGACAACAAACAAGGTAAACAGAATAACAAGCAAAAGGTAGGTGTGGCTGGATAACCACACTTCTGGTAACATGGGGGTATGGCCTAATGTGCTAATGAGCTGTGCTGTCAGGGGTGTGGCCTAATATGCTAATGAGTTCCTGCTATTGGGTGTGGCCTATTAAGCTAATGAGTTCCTGCTGGGCTTTTTCTACAAAAAGAGCCCTGTACAGTAGGCAAATGTAGGCAGTCCCGTAGCCAGGATTTTTTAAGTCAGGGGGCATTTAAATTCCTTAGGGGGCACTGGCTAATCGAATTAAAAGTAATTTAATTCCGTTTCTGGAGGAAATAGAGAGAAGCTTTCTGGCTCCACAGGGCCACCATAGCTCTTCCTGCCACACAGCTGTGCAGGAATACTCGGCTCCTTCCCCACACCTGCTATTGCTGGAGGCCCTGCGCTGGATGGGAAGTCGTGGGACCTTGCCAGTAAGGCGGGGCGGGCCCTAGCCCCGAGTTGCCCCACTGTAGTTACAGACCTGGATGTAGGGCTTAGACTGCCGAAATTGACCTGTCTACCAATGAGAATTCTTGCAGAGAAGCAAGCTGACTATTCCTGTTTTACAGTCCTATGGTTAAGACGCTGAACTGCAGGCTGTGGAAGGTCGATAGTTCAGCAGTTCGAGACCCAAGTGTGCTGCATGACAGAGTGAGCTCCCATCTCTAGTTCCAGCTCCTGCCAACCTAGCAGTTCGAAAGCAAGAAATTGCAAGTAGATAAATAGGTACCACTTCGGTGGGAAGGTGACAGCGTTCCGTGCGCCTTGGTGTTTAGTCATGCCGGCCACATGACCACGGAAACGTCTTCGGACAGCGCTGGCTCTTCGGCTTTGAAACGGAGATGAGCACCGCAACCCTAGAGTCGGACTCGACTGGCTTTCGAGCAAGGGAGACCTTTACCTTTTACCCACTCCGCTCCTCGTCAGCCGAGTCAGAAGGGCTTCTAACAGCTCATTTCTGAGACTGTTGCTCTTTTGACGCTGCCAATAAAACGATTACCGTTCCGAGTGCGCCTGTCACATGGAATTAGACTGGCCGCCCTGCAGCACGACTTAAACCGTGAATGGGGGAAAACGGAACAGCCCGATTGCTTGGGGAGAGGGAGTTCCTTTCATCTGGTTTCTTGGCTGTTGGCGCAGACAGGTTGGGGAAAATTAAATTTGCGTTTGGGAGGACGGGGTTAAGGCAGAACATCAAAGGGCACGCAGTAATGAAACACGTGGGGGGTTTTTTGGACATGTTCCTCCTCCTCCTCGGCCCTACGGCAAGACTTTGTATGCAGTGGGCAGGTTTTTCCAGGTAGAATGTCACGTGAACACATGAATCTGCCTTATGCTGAATCAGACCCTGGGTCCGTCAAAGTCTGCATTGTCTCCTCAGACTGGCAGCAGCTCTCTAGGGTCTCAGGCAGAGGCCTTTCCCGTCACCTTCTACCTGGTCCTTTCCACCGGAGTTGCCGGGAATTGAACCTGAGACCTTCTGCGTGCCAAGCAGACGCTCTGCCACTGAGCCATCGGCCCTGTCTGTGGCTCTCCAGGGTCTCAGGCAGAGGTCTTTCACATCACCTGGTCCTTTTAACTGGAGGTGCCAGGGATTGAACGTGGGACCTTCTGCATGCCAAGCAGAGGCTCTACCACTGAGCCACGGCCCCTCCCCATAGTCCTCCAGGGTCTCAGGCAGAGGACTTTCCCATCCCCTCCTGCCTGGTCCTTTTTAACTGGAGATCCCAGGGATTGAACCTGGGACCTTCTGCATGCCAAGCAGAGGCTCTGCCACTGAGCCACAGCCCCTCTCCATGGCTCTCCAGGGTCTCAGGCTGAGGTCTTTCCCATCCCCTCCTGCCTGGTCCTTTTCAGCTGGGGATGGTGGGGATTGAACCTGGGACCTTCTGCATGCCAAGCAGA